CTGGCGGGGACAGCGCGGCGCGGACGGCGGCGCGGCTCGGCGGGTGCGGCAGTGCCGGGCCGCGGGGCTGGCGGGGCTGGCCGCGGTGCTCCTGGGTGCGCGGGGTTGCCGCCGGCGGGTCCGAACTGCGGGCGTACTGTGGGGGACCGGAGCCGCGCCTGCCTCTTGGCTATTGGCTTCTTTCCCAACTCGTGCAGCTCCCTCTGCTCCTGCATGAAATTTCAGTGGGAAAAAATGGATTCTGTGAGTTTGCTGCTTCTTTTCTTCTCGGCAGTGGCTGTGAGCAGAGCCCAGGTGCAGCAGGAGCCGTCGGCAGAGACCAGCGAGGGCACCGGCATCAACATCACCTGCTCACACCCCAACATCCAGTCTTATGATTACATCCACTGGTACCGCCAGCTCCCTGGCCGACGACCCGCATTCCTCGTCAACGCCGTTAAAGGCTCCAAGGAGGTGCCGAACCCGGCGGGGCGGCTGTGGGTGTCGGTAGACCGCCGCTCCAGCGCCCTGTGGCTCGCCCGGCCCCGGCTCGGCGACGCGGCCGTGTATTACTGCGCAGTGGGCGCACGGGAAGCGAAGCCGGGGCTGCGGCCGGGCACGAACCGCTTTGGGCGGGGCGGGGGCACAGTGCCGTCCGGGCCCGCAGGGGGCGCTGCCTGCATGGCCGCCAAACTCCATCCTGACCAGGGCGCACCTCCCTGAGTTCTCGATAGTAATGGGTACGGCGCCCATAGCAGCCATTGACTGCGGCCAGTGTCCATCAGACACAGCTGAGCCTGAGGTGGGCACGCCAGCACGCCGTGTATTTGTGGGAACTGCAGGACTGACTGCATGTGGTGTGTTTGACACCAGAAGGGCATTCACGCTGTTCTGTTCCATCCTCTATCCTCTCCTACTTCCCCACTGAAGCACATATGTGAAAAAGGGATTTCCATTCCCCCGAGCTGACTGGATGGCTTTCACCCATGGCCTCTCACATGCTCCCAGTTTTTCATGAGAGGACATCTGCGGTTATGATCTCCATTTGCAGGACATGTGGCTATAGTTGTGGGAACTATGCACACTGCAAGTGAAAGGCTGATTGTCACTTCC